ATAATTAAAAAAATTAAGAAATTTTTTTTTTTTTACTTTCTCCTGGGCCACACCCAAAAAAATGGAAAGTTTTTGAAGATGGCACCTCGAAATAAGAAACGAGAAAATGGGGGGAAAATGGAGAGGGGGAAAAGGGTTAAGAATTATAAAAATAAAAATAAAAAAAATCCACGGATTCGTTTTTTTTTAAACGTTAGCCGGCTGTTCCGTTTTCGAGAGAAAGAGAGAAAGAAAAAGAGGAAAAGTAAAAAAAAATTTTCAGCTCAAATTTTTTTCCTTTTTTTACGGCTCCCCGGCTTTTTAAAAAAAAAAGAAAACACGAGAAGAAAAAGAGGGAGGGGAGGAGGGGTAGTGGGAGAGAAGAACGTATGAAAGATCAAAGTTCTTAAACCCAGGCCTACATCAAAAAAAAAAAAAAAAAAAAAACGAAATTTGAAATTTTTATTTCAGGCCTGCGCTTTTCTATCCTTTTTAACCAGTCACTGACAATGATATTGCCATATCCATGTTCCAGAAGGTTATTTCTTTCTTTTTCCACCCGAAAAATTTCCAGGATTTGAGTGCTGAAGCTAAGAAGAAAAAGGAATGAGAGGGGGGGGGGAAAGGAGGGAAGAAAAGAAGCACATTCATGCCAAAAAAAAAAAAAAAAAAAAAAAAGGCTGACGGAGATGAAAATTGCCAAAATAAAGCGGTCGTCCACCGTTTCCCCCCTTTTTTCTTTTACGATTTTCTTATCGATCAAACGGAAGCAACCAAAAAAAAAAAAAAAAATTCCCTTCATGAATATTATCATTATCATTATACATGAAACAATAAAACTGGGTACGGCATAAGGAAAAATCAAAAACGTGGATTCAATGATTACGAAATTATTTTTTATTTTTTTTTAACAGGAAAATGAGTAATGTTTATTTTTGGAGAACATGGAGAAAGAAAAAAAAAAGGGAGTCAACTTTTTTTTCTTTTTTTTTTTTCGCAAGATTTCAAATCCAATCCTACGTAAAAACAAAATTTAACGACTGTTAATATCGTGCGTAATGGGTGCGCGTGTGCGCGGCATGTTTGTGCATACGACGATTCCACTCGGTGTAAGGGCAACTCCTTTCGGCCAAATTTATTCGTCATTTACAACAACAACAACAAACAACATCGGGGGGGGGGCTAGGACTCGAGCACATTCTTGTCAATTACATCCCGTCTGTTATATTAACCTGATTCCGACCCCCTCCCTCCTCCCCCTCTCACTCTTTTACCTAACGTAGAAAATTTTCCAATCATCATCGTGCGAAATCGAACGAAACAAACACCACGTTACGTTATACCATAATAATTTAAGCTCTACTTATTCCCTTCGTTTTTTTTGAATTTATTTATGAATTTCGTATCGGTCACGCTGCCACCGCCACCGTCGCCACCGCCAAACGTGACCGACTTACCACCTGTTAATTGACCTCTTACCCTCTTCTTCTCATTCGCACGTCAACAACCCTAAAAGCGAGAGTGAGCAACACACAAAAATCAAGGAAACCTCCGCATTCATTCGCCACACACGGTAGAGAATTTTCGAAATTTCGGTTTTCCCATTCAGGACCGTATTCGGAATTATTAATTAAGTAACACGCAAAATCGCACGCTCATTAACTTTTCTTTTATTTTTTTTAAGGTTTCATCACGATGATCCAATTAAATTTAAATTTTTACGAAACGAAAAAAAAAAAAAATTACACGGACGAATCGCCCGACGTCGCCGTGAAAATTTAAACAATTAATTAATTAAAAATCCAATTTATTAAATTTTTAAAATAAAATAAAATAAAATCCACGTCGACGACGATAATGATGATGATGATGATGATAATAATAATAATAATAATAATATATAATGCGAAATATTTTTTTACCTAAAAATAATTCAAATTCGAAACGGATGATTTAAAGTGAAATTTTTTCCTTTTTTTTTTGTAAGACCTCCGAAGAGTTAAAAAAAAAATCCGAACCTGCCTCATCTCCCTTCCCTCCCCTCCCCTTCGTCACCCCCCCTCACAAACGCAAAACAAAAAATCATTCAAGTAAGGGGAAAATTTTTTTTTTCATTTTCCCGAAAAAATTTTTTCGGGAAAATAAGAAAAAAGATAAAAAGAAAAGAAATAGTACGGAGGGAGTGTGGAGGGGGGAGGGAGGAGGGAGGAAGGGAGGGAAATTTTATTCCATATCGCCTTCGAATAAGTTTTTATTTAAACAAAAATACAAATAACTGGAGAGAGAGAGAGAGAGAGAGAGAGAGAGAGAGAGAGAGAGAGAGAGAGAGAAAGAACAATGAACTCGAAATGAAGAGGATTTATACACGGAGCCTGGAGGCTAATCCGAACCAAAAAAAAAAAAGAAAAAAAAAAAAAGAAAATTGGAAAGATATAAATAAAGAAGAGAAAAAAGAAAAAAAGAAAAATCAAATATTAAAATTTCCCTAAGAAAATTCCCCCCATTTTTATTTTTATTTATTTATTTTTTCCGAATGAGCGGGGGGGGGATGGGAGAATGATCGGAAGAGGAGAAGAAGAAGACTGGAGAAAAGAAAAGTCAAAATTAAATATTTTATTATAATCTTCAATCGGGGGACGGAGGAGGGGAGGAAAAGAGAGAAGGGAAGGAAAGACTTTGAATTTTAGAAAATTTAATTTTTTACGTTACTAAAAATTTTTTCTTTTCTTTCTTTTTCCGTTTTTCCTCCCCTACCCCCCTTAAAAAGTTTTTCGAGTTTTCCTCTTTTTGTCGAAATAATAATAATAATTCATAAATCGGAAAAGGTTTCTTCTTTTTTTATCCAAAAAAATCTGGAACTCTCAAGAACACTCCAAAAAAAAAAAAAAAAATTTTTTACTTTCTTTTTGTTTTTCACTGGAGAAAAAAAAAGACAGAAAAAGAAAGACAAAAAGTATTTGAGGGATATCTGAAGAAAGAGAGAGAGAGAGAGAGAGAGAGAATAGATGCATTAGAATAAAATCAAAATAGAAAATAAAAATAAAATTTAAAAAAATTTGCGTGGGAAAAACGATTTTTTTTTTTTCTTCTTTTTTTTTTAGAAATTTAATTGAAAGGGAAAAAACGGAGGTAAAACGACAGCAGATGTTTCGACGGTGTGCAACCTGCCCCCTGCTCCCCCCCCAAAACTGCTCCCCGACCCAAAATTTAATTAAAAAAAAAAAAAAACTAAAAATAAATTATTTAAAAAAAAAAACGGGGCAAAAAAGAAATCGAAAGTAGTAAAAAAAAAAAAAAAAAAAAGATTTAAAAAAAATCTCCCAAACCTTTCCGTTCTCCCCAAACCCTTCCTCCTCTTTTATACTCTTTCCTCATCCTTCTTCCCCCCCAACTCCCCGAAAAAAAAAAAAAAAATTAACAATACGAAAAGATAAAACAAAAGTGTGTATCCAAGAGCATTATTTCATTAAGAACCTCTTATTACGACGCCATTTTTTTCATCTTTTTTTTTTTTATGTAGCTGTTGCTCCTCGTGCACGACAATGCAACGCAAATGCAATTTAATTTTATTTTTTGTAATGCGAGAGAGGGGGTGGGAATGGAGTGGAGTGGGGGGAAAGGAAAAAGGAATCGAGGGACGAAAAAGGACGAAGGGGAAAAATCGCAAAAAAAAAAAAAAAAAAAAGTAATTCTCTTTATGGCAACGAACGAGCTTTTTATGCCGATTCCTTGAAATGATGGGACGAAGGACAGATTGTATCCAGGCAACAGGATGTTTTTTTTTTTTTTATTTCCGCAAGAGTTTTTACTTTTGTTGAAAACACCATCGCGATGAAAGGGAAAATTTCTTTTTTTTTTTTTTTTTTGCAAAGAATGACAGAAATAAAGAGAGAGAGAGAGAGAGAGAGAGAGAAAGGGAAGAGAGAGAGAGAGTGAAAAGAAGAAAAAAACAAAACGAATAACGTCGTCCGAATGAAAAATTTCTTAAAAACGTTTTAAACGTTTCAAATTACCTGGGGTAAAAGAGACAAAGACAACTGCAACAACAGCAACAGCGGAAAGAAATGGGCAATAAGAAAAAATTATTATTATTATTATTACTATTTTCCTTCGGGGTACATCCCGTGGTGAATCAAATTCCGACAGATTTTTTTTTTTTTTTGGTATTTACGTTATAAGATTACGATGGCGGCTTAAACCATATTTTTTTTTTTTTTTATCTCCCTCTACGCAGCATCTTTTCTTCCTTCTACGCTTCCGTAATATTTCCGTTTCCCCCCTCCCCCTCTTTTTTGCTCTCTTTCTCTCTCTCTCTCTCTTTTAACTCCCCGTAATTTTTTTTTTTTTTAAGTTACCCCTCAGCGTTATTTTAAAATTTTATTTCACTTTACTTTTTTTTTTTCTCTCTCTCTCTCTCTCTTCTAATGCAAGAGAGATTTTAATTTTATTATATACCCAACGAGTAATTTTAATAAAATGATAATAATAATAATAATAATAATAATGATAATAAGCTACAAATTTCATGAGACCAACTTTTCAAACGAACCGTGAGAAGAAAAAGATGCGTGAAAAAGAAAAAGAAAAACCCTTTTGAGGTTAGACTAAAATGTACCGACAAAACCCTAGCGAGGCAAAAAAAAAAAAAAAAAAAATTATCCGACGATAAATAATAATAATGATGATGATAATAATAATAAAAACCTCATAACCGTCGTCTTAACGGAAAAAAATAAAATAAAAACGCGAATCGATCGATTTATCGTTTTGTATATCGATTCTCTCTCGAAAATGAGAGGAAAAAAAAAAACAAAACAAAAATTTTCTACATTTTCCTTCCCCCCTCTCTCTCTCTGTCTCTTTGTCGAATCGGAAAAGAATAAACGGGGAAAAAACGGGGGGGGAGAGTAAGAAAATCAAAAAAAGATCGAACGGGGGGTAAATGATAAAAAAAAGAAAAAAATTTTCTTTTTTTGAAAATAATAAAAAGCGGAGGTTGATGCCCCCAGTAAATAACATACAAGTGAGAGGAGGTTGCTGGCTCACAATAGGACAAGAGGACGAATCCAACGAACGACTCCCAACGCCGCCATAACCGCCACATTCATGACAACCCCCCGCCCTCTCCCCGATAACCAACCCTTCGGCTTCCGATTCAATCCTTTTCCCGATTATTTTCATCTTTTGTCGTTCGTTTAACCCCCAAAATCCTCCCTTCCCCTTCAAAAAAAAAAAAGTTTTCGTCATCGATCAATATCCAACAAATGTAATTATTATTATTATTATTATTATTATCGTAATATTAATGTCATTAATTATAGCAGACGACGCAACAAAATAAAATTAAATAAATATTTATATAAATTTAACGAAACAAAAAAAAAAAAAAAAAAAATTAAGATGCATTAAAAAGTTTTCTTTTCTTTCTTTCTTTTCTCCGCTCTGCTTGTTTTTTTCCCTTTTTTCTTTTTCCTTTTCCTTCCATTTTCTTTTTCATTCCATTTTCTCCTCTCATTTCCTCTCTCATCATTTCCCCATCGCTCGCCAAAAAAAAAAAAAAAATATTTTTTTTTCCCCCCCAAAAATTTCGTGCTCGGTTTCCAAGATTATGTTCATTAACAAGAGTTCTCATCAAACTTGCAAAATCGATCTAACGAAATTTTCCATAACGTTTTTTTTTTTTTTTTCTTTACCGGGAAATATTATTAGAAATCTCGTAATAGGAAAGAGAGAGAAAGAAAAAGAAAGAGAGAGAAGAAGAAGAGCGGAGAAAATGGGAAAGAGATAATGAGAAGGGAGGAGAGCAAAGAAGAAGAAAAAGAATGAGAAAAATAAAAAGGGAAAATTTTTCTTCTTCTTTTTTTATTTCATTTCGTTTTGGAATATATAATGTATATAAAGAGAGAAAATGAGATAAAGACAAAGAGAGAGAGAAAGAGAGATAGAAAGAGAGAGAGATAGAAGTGAAAATATTTTGCGTATGAACGCGAAAAACAAAGGCGTACGCAAAAGCGAAAAGGAAAATTAAAAAAAAAAAAAAACGAGGAGAACGAGAAAAATAATTTGAAAATATTTTCCGAAAGGAACAAATTAACAAACAAACAAACAAACAAAAAAACAAACAAAAACGACAACGACACTAGCAGCGGCAGCGGCAGCAGCAGCAGCAGCAAAACGAAAATAAAAAATAAAATAAATGAGGAATAGAAGGAGGGAAAGAAGAGGGAGGAAGAGGAAGAGAAAGGAGGACAAGGGAAAACCCATTACAGGCGACGCAAGCAATCGATGAATGAGTTTTTTTTTTTTTTTTTTTCAAAATTCTCTTTTTGTTGTTTTTGTTTTTGTTGTCCTCGGTTCGAAATCCGCCAAAGTCTGCAAAAGACCGGGGGAAAGGAGGGGAGGAGTAGGACGAGGAATAGAAACGAAAAGTCGAGAGAAAGAGAGAGAGAGAGAGAGAGGGGATGAAAATTTCATCGAGTTTCCCCCATTTTATCGGGAGCCACGACCTACCTCACTCGATGCGCTCGAGTCTGCATCTTTTTTCCATTGCAACGAGGTCAACGACCTGACCTATCCCAACACCTTTTATTATTAAATTTTTACTTTTTACCCCGCCATTTTTTTTTTCTTTTTTCTTTTTTTTGTTCCTTTTTTTTCCTTCCTCGAAAAAATAAAAAGAGATGGAAAAAATTTATATGTACATAAAAAAAAAAAAAAAAACTTTTACTTCAAATTTACTTTTTTTTTTTTTTTTTAATGATTTTCCCCCGGGATGAAAGGGATGAAAAAGGAGAATGAGAAAGAGTGAGAAAAGCAATTTTTTTTTCTTTTCTTTATCCACGACAAAACACACACACACACACACACACACAAACACATTCTATCTCTTTCTCTTTTTTTATTTTTATTTTTTTTCGAGAACCGTTGAAAATTATTTTAACGTCACACTCAGTGAAGGCAACGAACACAAAATAATAATAATAATAATAATAAAACGAAATTAATTTTTTAACGCAAAATTAAAGAGTGAGAGAGATAGAGATAGAGAGAAAATTTCGTTTCGTCCGTTAATATATATATATACGGTTGGCTAATAAACTCAGGCGGTCGGAATTTTTTTTTTTTTTTGTAATTTTGGCAATCGTTCGTTGTGTTGTCTATCAACGTTCGACCGTTTAATTTCTTAATTGATTCGACAATTAACAAACGTCTAACACCTTTAATTAAGACGTTTCATCCGGTTGCACCTGACTTTACAAAAAAAAAACCCAAAATAATAATAATGATGATGATGATTTTCTCTCAATGTCGAAATTTTAATTTAAAATTTAAAATTTAACGGTCGATCGTCGTCCGTTCGTTATCGATCGGGGGGAGAGGAGGAAGGGGGAAGGGGGAACAAAAAAAACAATTTTTTTTTCCCGAGCAATTATTTTAGAGTGAGCTCAACAACCGTCTCAAAACCAGACGACACGACGATGCATATATACCCCTACCAAGGCAACATTCGCAAAATCAGGTACGATGATGACGATGATAAACCAATAAGCGCAACGTTAGAGAATGCGAACCTGTACGTAAACCTTATTGAGGTATTAAAATTATACGAATATGCATTCTTTTTTCGTGACGTAATCATCGGCCTTAAAAAAAAAAATTATTTTCGTACGTTTTTTTTTTCCAGGAACTTCAATTATAATAATTATAATAATAATAATAATAATAATGATAATAATAATAATAATAATGATAATAATAATAATGATGATGATAATAATAATTCGATCGTTCGTTACATGACGTTCTCGCCAAAAAAAAAAAAACGTTCACCGAAGCTTAATTTTTTGTCGCGTCAATACCTCTTTATATTATGACATAAAATAACACAATGGTAAAAACAATAATAAACAGCAAAAACAACAACAAACAAACAAACAACAAACAAACAACAAACACAACAACAACAATGAGGACAACGAATAGAATGGACAATAGAATGGACACATCAGCCTGATTTTTAAAAAAATTTGATTAGGTCGCGTTAAAAATTCGTCGAAACCTTAATTATGGTCTCTAAGACGGAGGGGAAGGGAGGAGGTCGCCCTTTCAGGTTTGTGCAATTTTTTTTTTTTAAAGCCTCGCGTTTGCGCTTTAGACACAGGCCAGATGATTATGATGATGATGATGATAGGGAATCGGCCCTGGAAAAAAAAAAAAAAAAACGTTTCGTTTCCATTCGATTTTTTTTTTTACGATCGAGTCCGTGAAAAAACGTGATTCATCAATTTAATCAATTTTCTTTTTTTTTATTACCGGATTCATTGAATTTTCCACTGTGAGGTAGGTTGTGATTCCGACAGAAATTAACGTCATTACACCAACCCCACCATCACCACCACCACCACCACCGTAAAATGTGATTCATTTAAATTTTACTCTCTCTCTCTCTTTCTCTCTCTCTGACAAAAAAAACAATCCCCATAACACAATCCACCCCCCTCCCTATACGCTGCTATTAATAACAACATCATTTACGTAATCAATTTTAATTTGGCGTCTGTTTATGCATAAACTTTGTTGTTGTTGTTGACAACATCCTCCTACAACGTCAAATATCACCCCTCACGAAAAGAAACGATTTAAATGGGGAGTCGATGAAATGTTAACGACGACAACCATTTTTTTTTATTTTTATTACGAAACAAAAAAAAAGTAGAAAAAAAAAGTTGAAAAAGAAAATTTTATTCTTCTTACACGAGAAAAAAAAAAAAAAAAAAAAAAAAATTTTGCCGGTTAAGCTCGTATTTTTTTTTGTTCGTTGTTGCTCTGTCGGGTTTTAAAGCGCAGGCTCTTTCCCGGACCTACACTTTATGTTAAAGATATGTATATATATATATATATGTATATACTCGAATACGCAACCTCCCGGAGATGTTTTCGCTCCCCTAAATTTCTTCCCTCCCTCCTCTCTCCCCTTTCCCTTTCTTCTTCTCTTTCATCCCTCGATCCGTCCGCGCCCTTAACGTTTCCATTTCCCTCTTTCTCCTTCTCTCTTTTCGCTCGAAACGAGATTCCCCCGCGCAACATCCCGGATCGGAGCATTGACCGATCTCGCATCTGTGAATGTTTTCAGCTTGGGTTATTTTATTTTCAAGCTTTACACAACCTAGTGTAAGGAAAAAAGGGATGAACAAAATTTTTTTTCAAGGGAAATACAAACACATATACACTTTCTTAACGAGATGTAATTTTTACGAGAGAGAGAGAGAGAGAGAGAGAGAGGGAAAAGCAATTACAAAAGAAAAGGGTTAGAAAAAAAAAGGAAGGGGAAAAGCGCTCGGGGGGGGGGAGGACGGGTGGCGGGAGCAACGACAACGTTTTATACCGATACGCTAATCATAACAAGCTCACTTTTCCATTTTTTTTTTTCTTTCTTTCTTCGGCCTTTGAAATTTTTTCACGTCTTATTATTGCGAACCTAACCAATTTTGCAAAATTTGATTTTATTCAATTCGAACTGTTCTTGCACGGGGAGGCGGGAGGGAGGGGGGCCATTGAACTCTTTTATTAAGTCAAAGAAAGGTAAGTTAAACACCTTTTTTTTTGTGTCATTTGAAAAAAAAAAAAAATCGAATTACACGAAGGTGATCGAAGCATCAAACGAAAAATTTTACTTTTTTTTCTTTTTGGCAAAATCAGCGGGAAAATTTAAAAAAATGATGATGATGATGATATTAAATGAAGCGATGATTTTTTCCCCACACGAGGTTTCATTAAATCTCTCAAATCTTTTATAGAAAAAAATAAAAATAAATAAGTAGCTTAAGTCAAAGTGGTGGGATTTAGTTCTCGTTAAAAGCCTTGTTTTTGTTGTTGTTGTTGTTCTTCTCGTCGAATCCATCGAGCCGTTAAATTAGGTATATGACCTTACCCGGTCAGGTATAAATAGTAGTAGATGATAATTTATAAAATTCTAAGCAACTAGAACGATAATCATTTTTTTTTAAATAATAAATTCTAATGCTTTTAATCTCCCCTCCCAAAAAAAAAAAAAAAAAAAAAAAAAAATTTTTTTTATTATTCCGAATAAACATTTCGATAAAAATTATTTAAGAAAAAAAAACGTTTTTCTCGCAACGAACGGAAATTGCCAAAATTTTCCTCCCCCCTATCCCTCCTTCTCTCTCTCTCTTTTGCAAAAGGAAAAGCAGACGAAAAAT